AAAAAAAAAAAAAAAAAAAAAAAAAAAAAAAAAAAAAAAGATAGCAACGAGGACCTGGGAATTATAAACCAGTCAGCCTAACTTTGTTCCAGTATCTATCCAGATTCAAATTATTAAAACAATAAATTTAAGCATCTACAGGATAATAGCATTTTAAGGAATAGCCAGCATGGATTTACCAAGAACAAATCATGCCAAACCAATCTCATTTCCTTCTTTAACAGGGTTATTGGCCTAGAGGATAAGGGGAAGCAGTAGATGCAACATATCTTGATTTTAGTAAGGCTTTTATAATATAGTCCTACATGACAGTCTCATAAACAAACTAGAGAAATGTGATCTAGATGAAATTATTATAAAGTGGGTGTAAAACTAGTTGAAAAAGACCACACTCAGAGTTATCATTAATGGTTCACTGTCAAACTGGGAGAGCGTATCCAGTGGGGTCCCACAAGGATCTGTCCTGGGTTTAGTATTATTTAGTATTTTCATTAATGGACTTGGATAACGGACTGGAGAGTACACTTATAACATGTGGATGACATCAAGCTGAGGAGTTGCAAGCACTTTAGAGGACAGGATTACAATTAGAACAGTCTTGATCAACTGGAGAATTGGCCTGATATGAACAAGATAAAATTCAACAATCACAAGTGCAAAGTTCTGCACTTAAGGAGGAAAATAATAATAATAATAATAATCAAATGCACTACTACAAAATGAGGAGTAACTGGCTAGGTGGTAGTACTGCTAAAAAGGATCCGGGGGTTATAATGGATCACAAATTAAATGCGAGTAATGATGTGATATATTTGTAAAAAAGGCTAACATTCTGTGGTGTGTTAACAGGAGTGAGGCCTCAGCTGGAGTATTGGGTCCCAGTTCTGGGCATCACACTTTAGGAAAAATGTAGATAAATTGGAGAGAGCCCAGAGGAGAGCAACATAAATAAAAGGTTTAGAAAAACCTGACTATGACGAAAGTAAAACAAACATAGTATGTTTAATCTTGAGAAAAGATCTGATAACAGTCTTCAAATGCATTACGGGCTATTATATAAAGAAGACTGTGATTAATTGTGCT